CCCCAAAACCCCAAAACCCCAAAACCCCGTAGTATGCATCAATAATCATGATTTATGAAATTAAACTTGGTTATTGAAAAAATAATATTTTTTACATCAATGATTGAGTGCTATAACTATAGATAAGGAAAATCCTACTTATATTGAGCATTTTTGACCACTACTTAGAAGTTGAGCTATCATCTCTATTATGCCTTTATCACAAACTACTAACTATTAATGTTGATTTCCCCAGGCTCATAGTTCATTACAAGAGCCTGACTTTTATTGGTTTACTGTGACTTCCTTAGAATACTTTTACATTTATTTAAATCATCTCTGAAGACTTAGTGACCATGTCTGTACTTTCTGGATATCTTCCTCGTCTCTTTCTTCATCTATTCACAAGATCTGTATATATCTGATATCTGATTCATATTCTTGTTATATACTGGATTATTATTCTTCCTAGTTTCTGCATTCAGCAGTTACTCCTGAGAATTCTTTTTATTTTGGTTTCGGCTTTAAGAATGTGAAGGATAGTTTAATGAGGCTCTAGACTCAGTGTCTGTGTACAGAATCTCATTAGTTATATTCATATTAGAGCTTTTAATGTTAGCTGCACTTTTATTAATTCCATGAGGTCTGAGCTGTATCTGTGCTGTTGAAGATTTCTTCTACAGAACTTAACTGCTGTTCACTTGATTGTACTTCTCTATCCCGAATTTAGAATTATTTTTACTAAATCTCTACTTTCTTAGGAACTCCTCCTCAAAATGCTATTTTTAAATCTGCTCAGCGATCTTGAAGATCTCTTAATCCTCCATTCTATTGAGAGAAGCATGAGATCTTATATTGGCAAAGGAATCACCACTGTATGCAACATAATCATTTAGACTCTAAGCATTAGGCCCTGTACCTAGAAAACTTTTATAGTTCTTATCTAGTGAACTATCGATTTTTTTCTCAGTGATGTATACTTTAGAACTAACTCGTTTCATCCCATTTTAGTTTTTGTGATTTTGCGATCTCTTATCAAATGATAAACTGATTCCCATTTTTGTAATCAATTCATCACTCTCATCTTTATGCTATTGCACTATCTCGACTATGTCCATATTCTTAGATTATAGATCCTTATATGAATTATAGTCCAGACCTCTCATATCCTTATCATCATCCATTATTTGATGCTTTGGCACAAGATACAGCCTCTATTTATAGAGACGTAAATACTCTCTCAACTTTTGATATCTGACCTCTGATTTCTAAGTATCATTGAGTGTCTTGCTTGTTTTGTTATTCAAAACTATCTTGTTCACCTTCGTTTCAATGTTTGAATGTGACATGATAGTTGTGAATGGATTCATATAGTACTTAATTTACTCCAGCTCTTCCTTATATTTTTTAATATTTTCCTTGCAATTTCTTTGCCTCAAGACGTCAAGGACCTTGTTATAATCCTCTGTCCTATTGCTTCTAGCGAAGGAGGAATCCAATAGCCTTTTGTTTTTGCTAGAACTCTTTGCACCTAGGTCAAATGAGGACTCTTGATTTAAATGATCAAGCTGACCTTAAACTTAAAAGTTCAAAGAATCTCAGGATGGAGATATGATACTGTTATACTTATTCTATCTAAAATCGGATGTAGCTTAGACCTAATCTACTGACTGAGTTTTGATATTGGGAAGCAACTAGCTCTCTACACAAAATTAATAGTTATAATTAGTGGCTTACTATCAATACTCATACTCCGATTTATTGGTTCAGTCAAGACCTCATCTCCAATTTGGAACTACCTTGACCTGTGATTTTGATAGCCACTACTTTAATCATCTCAAAGTAAATCTGGCGAATGATGTCTAATCTCTCCGACGGGCAAAGTCGTTGAGCTTATGTTATTATTTTCCTTTTATACTTCAACTCTTCTTTAATGCTTGTCCTTCAACTTAAGCTACTTGTACCTTGCTACAGATGGTAGAGTTTGATAAGAGTTTAAGAGATCTTAGGTAGATGACGGATGCTCCTCAATTTTCATGAAGTTTAAAGAGTTTTGTTTATACTTTCGATCTCGTTCCATTTAATTCAATTAATTTACTTAATTTATCAAAATCATTGCCGTTTCATCATTGATTTTATATTCTTGGGGTTTTGGGGTTTTGGGGTTTTGGGG